AACCATAATCCATATACCCTCCAAAACCCAAACTTCTTCTGTGGGGAGGTCCAGCAAAATCTGGCATGCCCATTGGGCCAACAAATCCCTGTAAGTAACCAAAGGAAGAATAAAGTAAATCTACATCTTACATAAAATGGTGATTCAATCTGCTTTCAGCTTAGCATTCTATCAGCTGATTATTTATAATTTTCTTTTTCCATGTCAATAGAATCTCCTGTTACTTTACATTGGAACTTTCAAAGCAAAACTTTGACTCACAATAACAGTTTCATACCTGAGGGCCCCATGGTTTTCTTTCTGACAAATGAGGTAGCACGCTTGGTCTATGAACATTGTGCATAAAAGGGGGGTCATCATGAGGATGAAAACCAAAAGCATCAAAATGGTGAAACGGTGGACCTAATCCAGGAGGGGAGAGTTCTCTCCTTCCCATATACGGAGGGAAAGAACGTACTTGATCCAGATAGGCAGGATTTGAAGGATGGTTGATAGCATGAAAGGAATTGCGAAAGTAATGATTTCGCAATCTGGATGTTATGTGAAGAAGAGCCTCTCGAACAGCTTCATATTCTCCATTAATCTGTAAGAAGAAAATAAATCGAAAGGTTGGAAGTGAAGTTATTCTATCTGCTGAGGTGTTCATTATGAGTAACATCTGTAGGAAAATGACAAAAATCTGAAGGTGCTTGGCAAAAAAAATAAAAATAAAAAGTAAAAAAATTGTCAACAGACCTGAACAACTTCATCACCCTCTGACGCACACTTTGGAACCTGATCCTTACCCAATATCCGAATATGAGCACCAGATAACTTCCTCATTTCAGCTATGACGGAACCACCCTTGCCAAGGAGACAACCAATTTGATTATAGGATACAAGCAGTCTTGCCATCACTGCCTTTTCATTTCCATCAGGCATAGCCCTAACTATCCTGGTGTGCACCCTAATGACTGCATCTTGTGCTGCGGATATTCTATCATCAGGATGCTGCAGTAGTTAATTTGTCATTACTCATCAGCACCTTAAGATATTGTCAAGGCACTAACAACTTGAATATTCAGACGAGAAAATTTAATCCTAAACAAGTTCAGAAAGCAAAATATACCACAGGACCAGATATCAGAATTATGCGGTCTGGTGAATCAGGAGTGCCCTCAATAACTTTGATCTCAGAGCCCGTCTCTTGGGTAATGGTATTGATTATTGCTCCTCCCTTTCCAATAATACCTCCTACTCTATCATGATGACACAATAAGCGGAATGTTAGCACATCTGGAGGATGCATCATTCTCCCAGAGATGGGAGGGGGTATTGCAGAATGAAAATCAACATCTCGAGGTCCAGCAGTGTAGGGTGCTCCTTGAGAACTGAAAGAATGGTTTGGTAGTGGATACACATCAGGCCTAGGACCAAATGAATGAGATGACTGCCCTGCTACAATGGGAGTAGAAGTGTCATGATCCTTTGGCAGATTCTCCAAAAGTTGCTGAGAGACAGAATGAATGGCTTTCCTAACTGCATCCAACTCCCCTGCAATCTGTAGCATAATCACAGAATATTGACAGCAAAACTTAATAATGTATAACAGCAGGACAGAATTTTTGTATGCTTAGATTGCAGCAGATTATCTAGTCCTACATTAGTCATGATTAGAACTTTATAATTGCTTCAAACATCATCCTACTTGATTCTGCTGACAGGGAAAACCAAAATATTGGTTGGTTTGTAGTTATTGAAAGTAGGTCAGTCAAAATGAAAAGCCAACAGCAGCAGCAGCATAAAAAAGCTCAAGTGTTTCAGTTATCTCAACAAATGTATGATTGATAACCCTGAAATTTACTGAAAGATGTTCAACTTGAGCTTGATGTTGACATTGTAGTAAAAAAGAAGAAGAAGAAGAAGAAGAAAAGATACCTGAACTAGTTCATCAGTAGCTGAAGCAAAAGGAGGAAGTTTGTCCCTAGGAATAATTCGAATCTGTGCACCACTCTCAAAAGACATTTGCTTAATTACGCTGCCACCCTTTCCCAAAAGGCAGCCAATTTGACTAGAAAGCACAAGCAACTTTAAAATAACAGTAGTAGACTTATCAGTTTCCTCAACACCTCCCTCTTTCTTTGGCTCAGGTTCAACTATTCTTTCAAAAATAAGTAACAAAGCCTTCTGAAGAGCTGAACTTTCCCTTCCAGACTTCATATCTCTCAGAGAATCAGATTCCTTATTCTCATCATTTTTGCCATTTTCCCTTTTCTCTCCACTCTCCTCAGCTACATTAGCCTCTTCACCACTGCCCTCCTTGCTCTGCTTGGATAAAACTTCAGTATCTTCACTGGACAACTCAGGACCACCCATTATGACAATCACTCTCTCATCAGATGCAGGGATTGTTTCCTCAACTCTGACTTTTGCACCAGTTTCTTGTTGAATTTGGGATACGATGGTCCCGCCTTTTTCGATGAAAGTACCAGTTTTAGAAGCAGGTAACACCACACGGAAAATAATACTACCAGGTGAAGATTTCGAGAAGCTTGCTGATTTTTGCAATTTCCCTCTCCCATTTGGCTCTGCAAGGCTCCTGTCAAGTGGTCTCTTAGAAGGCGTCAAAGGTGTAGACATCCTGGAAAAGAGTATAAACCCAACTGTTCACGTCAATTTTAATGCAACTAAGAAGTCCAGTCCACACTGGGAAAAGGAACATATAAAAAAGAAAGAAAAATGAAAAGAAATAACCATTGAAAATTTAAAGACAACTAGTAGACTATCCAATTAGTAGAAAACACCACCAAAATCACTAGACTTTCTTTACTGGGTCTATTATATCTTAGCCTGGAAGCTCTCTATGTATTTTAGAGTTGCAAGTACAAGCCCTTTCCAGCATATCCTTCTTCTGATCTACTTCTATGAAACCTATGTTACATGAGTGGATCATGTTGAATTGTTTTGATGAATATAACTCCAAAATAATGAATCCAAAGTCCATTGCCATCCCTGTTGAGACAATGGCAAGTAGCTTCCTGGCAACACACGTTCATCTATCTCCCATTTAACAAAAGAACAAGGAAACAGCTATCTAATTCTACAATTGAAGCTAAACAGGAAGCTTAGAAAAAAGGCAGTCCAATACCTCACTAAACAGAAGCTCCAAACCAGTGCAGAATCGAGCTTTCAGTGTCTCGAAGCTCTGAGACAGGGAAAAACAACCCTGCATTCAAATATCCATTTTCGTGATTTCCTTAACCAACAGAATAGAGAAACAAAATTGCTCAAAAAAACAAAATACAAAACGAATACGCTTAATCTAGGAATCAAGAAACTCACAAGAAGAAGGAGATTTTGAAAATTCGAAGCAGAAATCTTGATGAAGTGAACGAAATCGGTAACTTCCTGCGCAATGAGGATGGGAAATCGAGACGGGAGAAGCGATGCTGAGGAGGACTAGGTTTTGTGATTGTACTATTGTAGTATGGTACTGGAGCCTGTGCCTGTTCGTCTGTGCGCATTGTCTGTCGGGCCGGCCACGGATGTTCCGGTTCGGGTAGAATTTTCCGGGGATGTTTCAGAAAACGGTCCACTGGATCCATTTAACAACCCAATGTCTTTTTTTTAGCCCAACGCAACCCAAACGTCAATCAGCTTGGAAATTGGAATCGCCTCGCAATGGCCCATGACACTCTCTTTCTTGCTTAACGATGCAAAAAAAGATGCAAGATAAGAATATCAATTTTGTAATTTTTTTATTTGTAAATATAAACTTTATTAAGTTTTAATTAAAACAATAAAATTTTAATTTATTTAATTTAAGAATATCAACTTTATCATTTTTTTTATTTACAGATTAATTGAATGATGATGCTGATAAGGCAAACACAAAATTAATATTTTTAAATAGAAAAAATACAAAATTAGTACCTTTAAATATAAAAGTTGAAATTTTATTGCCTTAATTAAAAATTGGTAAAATTTACATTCTTAAATAGAAAAAATTACAAAGTTGACACCTTTATTTGCACTTTTTTGTCCTTACAATGGTTTCAACATTTACTTTTAATTAAAAGGATAAAATTTTAATTTTTTTAATTTAAGAATATCAACTTTATCATTTTTTTCTATTTATGGATTAATTGGATAATGATGCTAACAAGGCACACACAAAATTAATATTATTAAATAGAAAAAATGTAAAGTTAACATCTTTAAATATAAAAGTTGAAACTTTATTGCCTTAATTAGAAATTGGTAAAATTTATATTCTTAAATAGAAAACATTACAAAGTTGGCACCTTTATTTGCACTTTTTCTCCTTAGAATGGTTTCAACTTTCAACTTTCAACTTTCATCTTTATGGGCATCTCAGCTATCATTGTGTTTGGAATTATTATGAAATGTTGTAATTATAAGTTTTTTAATCTTTTATTATAAAAATTATATTATTATTTGATAATTATTTTTAAAAAATTATACGTTCTATAATCACGAAATTATACAAAAATATCAATTAAATTTAATTTATTAATTATTATAAATTAATATTTTTATGAGATGTTGTAGGAAAAAGCATTGTGAGAAAGCAACCCAAACACAACTAAGTCGCTTGCAATGGGAATACTCATGCCACCAAACTCTAGATTAACAAGAACACTAAGACAAGCCCTCAAAAATAGCGTCTAAGGTGCCTAACATATTAGTATCCAAATGGCTCGTACCACTAAATTTAAGCTAAACCACATGCTGGACTAAACTCCTCAGTAGCAACATAAAAAAAGACAATAATTGATACATATTATGATTTAACGTATTTAACATACTTTTTAACACATTTATAAAAAAAAATATAATTTTTAAATTTAAATTTAAGGTATAAAAACTTTTAATTACAAATTTTAATAACTAAATCAGTGAATGTTGATAAATTTATTAAAATTGAGGGAGCACTGATCATTTTCCCATAAAAAATGCTAAGGGGATAAACACATGGTTTTACTCCATATCTTGGCATTAAATTATTATTTTTTAATGTTAACGTTATGGTTATCTTAGTTTAATTTTTGTAATTTAAAATGTGTTGATTTTTTAAAAAAGGAATTGGAATGACATTAACTTTAAAAATATAAACAATTTTTGTATTTTAAAATTTTCTAATATGATCGAGGTTCATTGGTGACCCTCTGGAACCTCACAAGAAATTTTTTCAGTCATGTCCCCTGCACAATGGAAATCCCCAAAATCCCTACTAGGTTAGAGCAATTTGCCATTCCTATTTTCAGTTAGCTAACAACAAAAATACAATAACCAAAAGCTAACAACAAAAATATTGATTGGTATTTTTTTTAACCTTCTTGATAGTTTTAAAAATATTTATTAGTAAATTTAATTTTAAAAAATCCATAATATTTATATTTTACTAGAAAATGATTAATATATTAATTACAAGATAATTCTTGATTAACTACCTATCTATAGAAGATGGGTATAAAATAACTAATACATTGACGAACAACAAATAACGAATAACAAAAACCGAATAATATACGATAGATAACGAATAACAAGTAACGAACAAAGAATAATGGTAAAAGAATAAGTATTTTTTTTTAATGAAAATAGGAACATACAGCTCAATTTGCATTATTCAAATATGAAATATATGTACACTTTTATTACTATATTAGGATTCTCCAATTTAATTCTTCCTACCAAATTAGCTTAATTATATTGACATTTAGTACATGTTATAGATGGAAGGTTAGCAATTGTGGGAAATTACACCTAATAGTCTAAAATCCAAAACCTACTTCCCAAATAGGAATGTAGTAAAAATGAAATTTGTAAAAAAAAAAAATGCCACCTTTGTTTAGATTAAAAATTGGAGATTAAGTCAAAATGGGGGAAAAAAATTGATTTTATGGAGGTTGAAAAAAAGAGGAAAAAATTGGCTACCATGATTAAAATTTGTGAAAATTAAAAATTTGTATAATATAAAAAAATAAAATAAAATAAAATAAGAAGTCAAATGTTTTTTCTTTTAAAAAAAAGTGAAAAGAAAAGACAGAAATATTTTTTTCATTAATCTAATATTCCAGTAAAGAATAAAATTTAAGTACTCCAAGAAAAAAAGAAATTAAAAAAAGGGGTCAAAAGTGGACCTTTTCCAAAATATTATTTCTTTTTGATTTTTTATTTTACTTTTCTTTGGAGGGAATTAAAGATTCTTAGTCAACAACTAGTCACTAGCCCAACATTGTCCTCGCTGGATGACTATGAATTGTTAAAAATGCCCTTGATAATATCTCCCCTAACCGACTTAATTAGCCTTTAAAAAGGAGCCCAATTTTGAAATTCAATCAATTGTCCATCCCCAGCAGAGAAACGCACAGAAGTCTCAGTGCTTGACCATTTTCTTCTCATATTCCACCTGTCATTGTTGCTTTTGATTTGGTGACTCATGGCTCATGCAATAGAGGCATCGACGAATAGGGTGGTGGAAATCGTTGCTGATACGGTTTTGTCACAACCACCCTCACCACTCGCATTTGTTCCATCATCTTCTCAAGACGCTGGAAACCACAGCGGTAATGCTACATCTAGAAAGGGAAAAGAGATTCAATCGGTTCCACCATCTCATCAAGATGCTGGAAGCCACAGTGAGAATGAAGCAGCAAGGAAAAGGAATGAGGTGACCATTCCATTGATGTTACATCAATCCATTGTCAAACGCAATGACTCTACACAAGATCACTTTCCTTCTACAGAGCTTCTATGGCAGAACTACAAGAATTTCACTCGTAGCGCAGCTCCATCGAGGTTGATGTACTATGAGAATGGTGACTGGCTTGATTTCTCGAGTGACATTATGGACCAACTTCGTCCAGCGTTCGCTAACCAAAGGGCGATGGTGGAGATGTTGATTGATGGATCAAAATATCTATTTGATTTCATGAGGATGCTTCAGATCGATTCTGAGACTGAAAATTGCTGGTCAATCTCATGGATTGATGAATATGGCAAGTGTTTTTTCCCTAAAGTGTCTATTGGAAAAGAGGGAAAGAATACAGAACTAGAGAATAATAAATATATTGAGAGTTGTGTTAATGCTAATGCTAATGCTAGTATTGCTCATAATGTTGACCTCGTTGTCAAGCTTGACGATAGTTCATTGAAGCGGAAGAGAGCAGAATTTGAAGCTATTACTACAAATCCAACTATGGCATTTCCAACTCCTCTAGTCGTTGCTCCTTCGACCGGTGCTCCTCTAATCATTCCTGAGGATGTGCCAAGAGGCCCACAATTGGTGGAAGTTTTCAGGTGGCCAAAAATGATGATAGTAAGAGAAGGCGATAAGGAGCATAAACTCATCAGGGATTACTTCTTGTCAGGGATAAGAAAACTTGACCCTACTGCTAAAGTTACTGCCATTTACAAATGCACTCGTGAGGGGAATTTGGAGAAGGCTCGTTATGATCTTTTTCATAAACAAGTTAACCTCACTAAGGCTATTCGAGGCGTTGATGCTGCAAGAATAATTCACACCTGGCATGGGGCTTCTAAAAGCGAAGTGGCTACTCTATTGGCTTGTGGGTTTCAGTTTCCGACCAAGGTTCCCGCAGCTGATGTTTATGGTATTGGTGTCTATCTATCTCCTGTAAGATTGGCACAATTGAGGTAATTAATTATACATTTTTAGTGAATTTTCAGTGTAATACTTGTTGATTAATGATTCTCCTAGTTCTTAACCTTTGAATTACATATTTCAGTGCTGACCTAGTGGAGGCAGATGAAAACGGAGAAAAACATGTTATTCTCTGCCAACTTTTACTAGGAAATGTGGAAAAAGTCCCATTCGGGTCTCAACAGGATCAACCTTCTAGGATGGAGTATGACATAGGTTCAGACGATCCTAATAGCCCCTCTTGGTATGTGGTGTGGCCTTGTAATATGAATAAGCACATTCTTCCTGAATTTGTCGTGAGTTATCAACCCACTATTAATGTGAAAGGTATATTTTGTTCTCCTTTTTGTGAATCTTTATTTTGTAGCTTTATGTATCCATATCCCATTTCTGAGTTTTGTTGATTAGGTAAATCTAAAGTAGACCCAGGCTGGGATGCAATGCTTTCTAAGATTCAAGATTCTTTACCTCCTGCCCAATTTCAAGAAGTTTTGCATTTATACAAGATATACCGAGTAAGTACTAAGCTAACAGTGATCACTTTTTATGAATATACTTTTCCTCATTGTTTCTATTAGGTGCCATTTAAGAACTATAAAACATGTGTTTTGTGACATACCTTCTAACTAATTACAGGCTGGGTTTTTCACCAAAGATGCTTTCATAAAGCAGCTTCGATTCATTGTTGGAGACAATATCCTTTAGACAATTTTGCAGGAGGACAACGCATTAGGATGACTTGGAAGAATTAGGTTAAGTTTTACTTAGCCAATCAAATTGATAGATCTTATCCTAATGTAATGTTACATTTCAACTAAGACTAGTACAGAACACCTAAACCTATAGCCACAAGAAACAAAATAAAACTATTTCTTAGGTGTTTTTCGTCCATTCTTTTAGCTTATTAATACAATAACCAAAAGCTAACAACAAAAATATTGATTGGTATTTTTTTTTGTCTTCTTCTTGATAGTTTTAAAAATATTTATTAGTAAATTTAATTTTTGAAAAACCCATGATATTTATATTTTACTATAAAATAACTGATATATTAACGAACAACAAATAACGAATAACGAAAACCGAATAACATACGATAAATAACAAAT